AAAAAAAAAAAAAAGAAACAAAAATAAAGGTATGTGGAGCACTACTTCTTACTATGCTTTAAGCCTGCTACTGATATGCTACAATAAATATATCGACTAATAAAATATACAGAACAAATTCTATCTTAAACCATCACGAAAAAATATATCTCCAAGTTCTATTCAATAGAAAAAAAAAGACTGAAAACTAATATACAAAAATGAAAACAATTATAATTCCTCTCCTCATTTTAACATTTTCTATCTATCAACAACAAAACTATCCCACATCAAAATACTTCTGACCACTATGCTAGTGGGTTGAGAGGTCTGTGTTTAATACTATCCAAAGTAGTTTCAGTAAGAGCCAAAAGTACTCAGCCAAGTCTATAAAGGCAGGGCCCAGAAACAATACGGAAAGCCGAAATAGCTACCCTGAACTTTCATGCTGAGAGCTTTTGCTCTTCCCCACAACTTACCTGCAGGCACGGTCAGGGGAATTAAGAATTTCGTAGTAGAATACGGAAAAATTGAGAGCAAGACCTAAGCGAATAGGATGCGTTGGCGGAAGTTCTGTCATTGCGATATCACTGGCAGCTTTATAAGCCACGAGGCTGTTCTCCGCAGCCTCCTTCCTGTCATTCCCTGTGGCAAACTCTGCCAGATACCTGTGGTAGTCCCCTTTCCTAAAACAGAACCAAAATTTAAAAAAAAAATTAAACCAGGAACAATGATTTTTAAACGAAAATAAAAACTGTTGTAAATTATATGAAATTATGTGACAAAAATGCATGTAACAACTAGCAGGTGTACTTCAATAATTTTAAACAGTCTCAGGAATGACTTTGTTTCATTTTTTACCTTCGACATTTCATATTACTAAATATAAGCAAAAATCTCAAGAAAATTAACTGAGGCACATCTTAAAAAAAAAAAAAAAAAATCAATAAAATTAGCACCTGACAGACTAGAATTAATCAAGTGGTTCCAAGGAATGGCGTGACAGTATATTAATCAGAAAGTAAAATTTCTAAATAAAACACTAAGCACTGTGAAATGTATGCCGTTTAGAGGAAGAGAATGGGATATGTCTCAGAAAAGCAAAAGAATTTAATAAGCAAAAGCGAATACGTTTTAATAACCTGACCATCTTTTTATTCCAACATTGGCTATCCTTCTAACATTAAGCAATTATTCTTAAATAAATGCTGAAAACCTACATAGGAAAAAAGTTATGATTAAAGACCAACTTTCAATCTTACATTTTCCCTTCTAGTATAAAACCTACATTTTATAATAGAAAACCTTGGACTCGCCAGTGTTAGCTGCTGGAATGAGGTGTTTGTCCAGTACATCCAGAATGTCACAACAGATTAACTTTAGCTCAGTCTCAACCTGAAAAAAACAAAAAAAAAATATTTTTTTTTAGTCAGATTAAGTCTAGAAATTCAACAAATTATTACAAACATTCTATCTATCTCTGGTTTTCAGGAAAAGAGCTTAGTATTAAAAAGAATTAATATTCCTCTCAAACTCCCTTTTGCCTCAACACAGAAGCAGAGAAAAGCAGCCTCTAGGTTATTCAAAGTATCTTTTCCTTTCTGCATGCTATTAATTAAGTATTGCACACACACAGGACACACATTGCACATACGCCAGCCCCTACACCCCCTTCACAGTCCAGTTATAGAATTACCAATGACCAAAACTGAACACTGATGCTTCTTTCACAAGGTAGCAACATAAGACACTGCTTCAAGATCAACTTAAAATAATTTAATGAGCAAACCTAGGATTTGAACCCAGGCAGGTTGCAAGGGAGAGAATTAAAATTTAAACACAGGCAGTTTGATTTCAACAGTCACATTCCTAACAACATTCAACAGGCAATTCCTTTAGTGGCAAAGATCCATAACTAGTTAAGACACCAAAAACCTATCTACTGAAGTAACTATTGCCACCCATCTCTATCCACTGGTGCTGCTGAAAGCATACACCACCTCTACAACACGTACACATCCAGCTTGCTTTCTACTTTCTATTAACACATGGCACTACTGCTCAGCCTTTCATGAGGTTCCTCTCATGCCCCTGGAATCGTCTTTCCACTGTAAAACATTCTCTCACTTTTTCTTCTATAATCGCATCCTTATCCCAAGCAAAACAACTATTTTCGGAATAAACCACCTTCCTGATGGCTTGGTTCCAACAGAGACTGTTCTAGGAGAAGGAAGATTTCCCTTTTTTTCTTTCTCCCCGAGATGGATTTTCACCCTTGTTGCCCAGGCTGGAGTATAATGGCGTGATCTTGGCTCACCCCAACCTCCAATTCCCAGGTTCAAGCAATTCTCCTGCCTCAGCCTCCTGAGCAGCTCGGATTACAGGCATGCGCCACCACGCCCGGTTAATTCCATATTTTTAGTAGAGATGGGCTTTCTCCATGTTGTTCAGGCTGGTTTCAAACTCATGACCTCAGGTGATCCACCTGCCTCAGCCTCCCAAGGTGCTGGGATTAAAGGTGTGAGCCACCACACCCAGCCTGGAGAAGGAAGGTTTCTAAGTTCTCCTAAGCTCCTCACATATTTAATGACTGCTTTCCTATTACTCTTAAACCCTTTCTCCTCAACAAGCTGATATTCTACATTCCATTTCTCAGTTTCTATCATCAATAGATCTCTACGCCCTTCTCCCACATTCGCTGAGTCTCTACAGCCAATCTATGCAATACCTGAGATCATACCAACGTGTGGTGTGGCCATGTTCCATGCAACAGACTCCAAGACTTGCACTTGTCCACACCCTGACTGTGCTGCTCCACACTACAAGTCTGAATTGAAAACACTCCACTCTTGGCTCATGCTTCCTGTTCCCGTTCCTCCCTTCTTATTTCTATTCAGGGACTCATCAAGACACCTGAACTTTTTTTTTTTTTTTAACGTTTTCCTTCTTTTTAAGTGCACGTATTGGCCTCTTGAACTTTCCACGTCTTCTCTCACTGTATCGGCTGCGCTCTCCGCTTCCCGCTTCCCCTCCTAGCTAGCCCAAATCCCATAACACAGCTCACGGGCTTCTTTCTTCAGCACTTTCAACTTTCTCATTTCCTCATTCCTCTGGGACACGAAACTTGTCTACTAACCATCAAAATTCTTTGACCCACATATTTCAGGGTAGTGGTTAACACATCAATCCCAGGTTACAACTTTATTTTTAAAGACAGGGTCTTTTTTGTCCACTACTGGGCTCAAGCGAGCCTCTTGCCACTGTCTCCCCAAGTGCTGGGGTTACAGCCATGAGCCACTATTCCCAGCCCTATGGGCTCACAACTTTCTATGTGACCTCAGTTATGTTACCACACACTCAAAACCCTTGTTTGTGCATTAATGGGTTGTGATAATACCTCCCCCCGCCTTCCAGTGCCATTTTAAGGATTTCAAATACTACCTCGCACAAATACAAAAAATAAAAATAGTTCCCCACTAAGGACAGTGCCCAGTAGAGCTGGCAAGTCAGTAAATGTGGTTCCCCCACCTTTCCCTCTCCCAGCCACGCTCACTTTCCACCTGCCCTGTAATTCCCGCCCTACTCTCTTTCCATGTGCTTATGTGCCTATCTGTTCCACCAAAATCAGCTTCAAGAGCAGCGCTCCTGGCAGTTTGGGCAGAATCACTCTTTGCTGCGGGGGCTGTTCTGTGCATAGCAGCATCAGCAGCAACCTAGTCTCCACCTCACCAGATGCAGGAGCACGCTCCATGCAGTGACAATCAAAAATATCTCCAGATACTGTCAAATGTCCTCTGAAGGACAGAATCACCTCTAATTGAAAACCGCTGCATTAGAGTAATGGCTATCAAACTTTTTTGAACAAGACCTACACGTGTATATATATATATATATACACACACACACAATGTGTAAAATAACTGCATTAAATAATTCTTATTCTTACAGTGTCCCACAGTGATATGTTATATTCTGTTTAAAAAAACCAATCACCAAGCCAGACGCAGTGGTTCACGCTTGTCATTGCAGCACTTTGGGAGGCCTAGGCAGGTGGATCACCTGAGGTCAGGAATTCAATACCAGCCTGGCCAACATGGTGAAACCCTGCCTGTTCTAAAAATACAAAAATTAGCTAGGCCTGGTGGCAGGCACCTGTAATCCCAGCTACTCAGGAGGCTGAGGTAGGAGAATCATTTGAACCCAGGAAATGAAGGTTGCAGTGAGCAGAGATCACACCATTGCCCTCCAGCCTGTACAACAAGAATGAAAGTCCCTTTCAAAAAAAAAAAAAAAAACTCAGCCTCCATGAGACTAGTAATCATGTATTTCATCTTTGTACCCACACTATGCAGGCAAATTGTGTGGCACACAAGAGGAGCACAAATACCTGAAGTTACAATGAAGCATCATTTCTGGTAGTAAATGTGGAGTTTCAATTACCAGAACAAAAATTAAATCTGTTCTCTGGTTGTGCAGTGCTCAAAACTGAACACTATCCTCTGAAGCTTCCAGAAGAAAAAGTTGTTCACCTCTGCCCTGAAATATTCTGTAGCCAAATCCATATAAGACAAAAATCCACTAAGGTATAAAATGTCTACTACAATATAATCATATGCACAAGGTTGTGACCTAAAATGCTGATGACTACAGCCAAGTAACTGACAGTTCCAAGCCCGAGACCTCAGCTAGACACTCAAAAGAAACAAGCCCCCTTTCCTTGGAGACATTTTCTAAAATTATAGGAATTAAAAGCAAAAATTAGGACATATTCACAATAACCACCACTCCCCCACCTCAAAATAATTTCTGTTGTATAGACACTGAAGATTAAAAACTACAAGACTGGATATAAAAACTGAGTCTTCCAATAAAAACTGGAATGAAAGGCCGGGCGCGGTGGCTCACGCCTGTAATCCCAGCACTTTGGGAGGCCGAGGCGGGTGGATCACGAGGTCAAGAGATCGAGACCATCCTGGTCAACATGGTGAAACCCCGTCTCTACTAAAAATACAAAAAATTAGCTGGGCATGGTGGCGCGTGCCTGTAGTCCTGGCTACTCGGGAGGCTGAGGCAGGAGAATTGCCTGAACCCAGGAGGCGGAGGTTGCAGTGAGCCGAGATGGCGCCATTTCACTCCAGCCTGGGTAACAAGAGCGAAACTCCATCTCAAAAAAAAAAAAAAAAAAAAAAAAAAAAACAAAAACAAAAAAAAAAAAAAAAAAAAAAAAAAAAAACTGGAATGAGGCCAGGAGCGGTGGCTCACACCTATAATCCCAGCACTCTGGGAAGCGAAGGCAGGTAGATCACCTGAGGTCAGGAGTTCTAGACCAGCCTGACCAACAGTAAAACCCCGTCTCTACTAGAAACAAAACAAAACAAAAGTGGCTGGGCATGGTGGTGCATGCCTGTAGTCCCAGGTACTCAAGAGGCTGAGGCAGGAGAATCACTTGAACCCTGGAGGAAGAGGTTGCAGTGAGCTGAGACTGCCCCACTGCACTCCAGCCTGGGCAACAAGGGTGACACTGCCTCCAAAAAAAAAAAAAAAAGAGGAATGGGATAAATTAACCCAACACTCATCATTTCACTTGAAAATACAATAGTTCCCTCTTATCCGAGAGGGATCCATTCTGAGACCCACCAGTGGATGTACTGAAACCATGGATAAGAGCAAACCTGATAGATACTATGTTTTGTCCTATACATACAAACCCATGGGAAAGCTGAGTTTATAAACTAGGCACAAAGATTAATAACAGAACCGTTATACTGTAACACAAGTGACATGAACAGAGTCTCGTTTACTCTCAATCTCTTAGTGTGCGGTACCACAGGTAGCCCTAACTGCCCAACAATCGCACCATTTGCCGATACTCCCGAATCATTTTTAGCTTGTCTTCTCCTCCCTTGTTTTCTTCTTTCTGTTCAATGCTGCTGATTATTCTCCAGGAGGCTCTTCTGGCTCCAATCACATTCTTATATGCAACAGATAGGAGGTTTCTTTCTTCAACTGTCAGCTCCACATCCATCCCTGCTACCTTCTTCATTGACTCCACCATTTCTAGATGGGAAAAGGAAAGTCAGACCTTAGAAATTTGAAGTTTTGTTAACATATCCTTTTCAAAGTAGGTTTTTTTTTGTCATGCTACTGGAAAAAAAAAATTTAACAAAAATAATTTCATAATCATCAAAATTAATGTGTGTAAAAAACCAAAAACGTGTAAAAGAAACTAGGAGTCAATACACAGAATCCAGAATGTAAGCTCTATGGAATCTTCATACACTACCTCATGCAATTCACTGTGGTCTGAAAGCACCTCTCATTACATAAGGTAATTAGGTACACCTAACCATTTTCCAGCAAAATAAATAAGCTGTCAGTTTAAGAGGAAGACTAAGAATTTGTAGGTTCAAAAAAGTATTGCTTACAAATAAAAACAAAAACAGAAAATAAAAAAAAAAAAAAAAAAAAAAGGGAGGAAGGCAAACTCATTCGTACAGCAGAAATATACAGAAAATATGGTTAGCCACAAACACAAACTGGATGTTTTCTGTCCTTCCTCCTATGAAGTTCCTTCACTGGTGACTTCTGATGACTCCTATTTGTTACCACTAGGTGGCGAGCAAAGAAAGGGGCCCAGAAAAGCCACAGAATATATACCAAGCATAGGGAAATACAGTTAATAAAAGAGCATGTCAATGCAAAGAGACACAAACAGTGCAAGACATAAAAACTCAATAAATAAATAAATAAAAACTGTATTTTTGATGCCATTATTGCCACGTGGCTCGCCAACATTACCCATGTTTAACTCTGTGGTGATGAGACTCAAGAATCTGCATTTTAGGCCAGGAGTGCTCATACTTGTAATCCTAGCACTTTGGGTAGCCGGACAGGAGAATCACTTGAGTGAAGGAGTTCAAGACCAGCCTGGGCAACATAGTGAGACCCTATCTCTAAAAAATAAAAATAGAGACTAGGTACGGTGGTCCACACCTATAACCCCAGCACTGTGGGGGACTGAGGTGGACAGATCTGATCAGGACATCAAGACCATCCTGGCCAACATGGAGAAACCCCCTCTCTACTGAAAATACAAAAATTAGCCGGGTGTGGTGGCACATGCCTATAATCCAGGTACTCAGGAGGCTGAGACGGAAGAATTGCTTCAACCAGGGAGGTGGGGGTTGCAGTGAGCCTAGATCACACCACTGCACTCCAGCTTGGGTCACAGAACAAGACTCCTTCTTAAAAAAAAAAAATTAAAATAGGCCAGGCGCAGTGCCTCATGCCTGTAATCCCAGCACTCTGGGAGGCCGAGGCAGGCGGATCAGGAGGTCAGGAGATCGAGGACATCCTGGCCAACATGGTAAAACTCTGTGTCTAATAAAAACACAAAAATTAGCTGGGCGTGGTGGTACACGACTGTAGTCCTAGCTACTCAGGAGGCTGAGGCAGGAGAATTGCTTGAACCCGGGAAGTAGAGGTTGCAGTGGATCACTTGAGCCCAGGAGTTTGAGATCAACCTAGTGGAGGCTGTAGAGCCAAGATCGCTCCAGCGCACAGCAGCCTGATGACAGAGCAAGACTACATCTCTAAATTAAAGTAAAATAAAAACAAAGACAGGCTGGACACAGTGGCTCATGCCTGTAATCCCACAACAGTGGGAGGCTGAGGCAAGCGGATCATTTTGAAGTCACAAGTTTAAGACCAGCCTGGCAACCATGCTGAAAACGTCTCTACTAACAATACATGTGGTGGTACGCGCCTGTAATCCTGGCTACTTGAGAAGCTGAGGCAGAACCACTTGAACCCAGGAGGCAGAGGTTGCAGTGCGCTGAGATAGCGCCACTATATGCCATCCTAGGCGACAGAGCCAGACTCCGTCTGAAAAGAATACAGATTAAAAATAAAAAAAGAATCTGCATTTAAATAACATCCTCAGCATTCACTAACACCCTAAGCATAAGCATACCTTAACT